AAAAAGACATCATGTTTGGTAAAGCAGAGGGTCAGTAAAAACAAAGGAGATGGACTGACAATAGCTACAACAGTGGATTCAAGCGTACCAAAGATCATGAAGATGGTGCAGGACCCGGTAACATTCCATTCTTTAAACACAAAGTTGCCACGAAGCCCACTCAATGGCAACGAACAACAACAATCGTTACACATTGTTTCCAGGAGGTAAGCAGATATAAAATTTTGATTCCAGGAGGGCCTTACTAAAAGCATAGAGCTAGTGTACAAATCCCAAAGGAGCAACTAAGAAGAGTCCCAATTCCTGAGGAGCCTGAAGAGTTAGACAGAACTCCTGACAGACTGAGGGAAACCCCACCCAGGGCGGGCACCTGCACCTTCGCATTTCCCCAACGTTTGGGTACGAGGTTCCCTGAAAGCAGTGCTTTGGACAGAAAAGAGCTATTTGCTGGGAAGCGGTGTTGTGTGACAGGCTGTGACTAAGAGTTGAAGCAGTATTTCTGGAAGCTAAGGAAGGGGTCCTAGCAACCTCGCTGGAAGCCTATAGCTTATTTCCTTTCGGGAGCAAAATCAGGAGCTGGATGGAGTTTGGGCTTCCCTCATGCCCTCCAGACAGCCAACTCTGGAGGCCGTGCCAGGCACCAGCGCATATAAGCAGTACGTGAGCAACAGTCCACGCCGTCCAGCTCACGTGAGCTGGGGAGATAAGGGCAGACAGGGGACCGCCCCCTCCAACTCAAAGGAACAGACATGAAGGACAGAAAATGAGACGAGGAGAAGGGAAGCCTCTGGGTTTGCACCCAAGGCTCTTTTGGCATTAATTTAATCCTGAGCTGCAGCAAGGCAATTGCTTCTCCAGGGCCCAGCACTCCAGAACATTTGAGTCAGTCATGGCTGAGAGAGAACTATGTTTCAGTGACTTCTAGATGGTGTGAGGGAGGCTGGGCATGTTTCCAATTAGCCTTCTGGGGCTCAGCCCCGTGGACCTCTACCCTGGCACCCCGCGTGTTTGTCTTGCTTTGTTACACGCATTCCCCCAGCCCCAGCTGCAGATTGTTTGTTTTGGTGTTTGGCTTCTAGTGGTTTCTCTTTGCTGGCGGGGGCCCCTAGGAGAAGTGAAGAAGCTGCTCCTTCTTGTCTAGATCTGCATTTCACCCTCCCTTCTGTATTCTGGTGGCACAGTGGTTAAAGCACTCAGCTGCTAACTGAAAGGTCGGCCGTTTAAACCCACCAGCTGCTCCTTGGGAGAAAGGTGTGGCAGTCTGCTCCCGCAAAGATTTACAGCCTTGGAAACCTTATGGGGCAGTTCTCCTCTGTTCTACAGGGTCGCTATGAGTCAGAATCGACTCAGTGGCAATGGGTTTGGCTTGGTTTTTGTTCTGGGGTCTTCCCTGGATCTATTTTATTAAGGAATTTAGGCGTTTAGAAGGTCCTTGGGTGGCACAAATGATTAAGCACTTGGCTACTAACTGAAAGGTTGGCGGTTTGGAGCCACCCAGAGGTGCCTTGGAAGAAAGGCCTGGCGATTTGCTTCTGAAAAGTCAGTTCTACTCTGTAACACAAGGGGTTGCCATGAGTGGAAATTGACTAGACAGCAACTGGTTGGTTGGTTGGTTACGAGTTTTCAAGTGGCCAACGTGAAAGTTGGCGTCTGAGGCTGTTTATCACAATCGTTCACTGCCCTTGCTTGCCTCTAACCAGGAAGTGCCTGTGGCTTTTGCTCTTTCTGGCCAGTTGGCCTCCTTTAGCCATTCTTCTCTTGGCTCCTGTGCTGTGTTATCCATCCACCCACCCCACACCTTCTGCTCTCAGGCCCCTTTCTCTGAGTCAGAAGACAGCCTGAAAGCACTTTCATATCCTCACAGAATCTCAGGGCTGTGATTAGCTTCCAGCGCCCACCAGGACCTGTGGGGTGCTTTTAGGCCAGCTGGAGCAAAGCATACAGAGTGGCTGGAGGAACATCCTGTCCTGAAAGGTCCCCAAGGCGCTGGCTGGTCCAACCATACCAAGGCCCCTGTGCACGGGTCTGCCTAAATGCCACTGTGGGGACAGTCGATGAGCTGCGTTTCTCCCTTTTCCTGGCTGATTCTAACACATGTTGTTTCAGAAATTAAGAAGAGTTCAAGGCCATGGGTGTGTGTTTCGGTTTCTTAGTGCTGCTATAACAGAAATACCACAAGTGGGTGGCTTTAACAAATAGAAATTTATTTTCTCACAGTTTGGAAGGCTAGGAGTCTGAATTCAGGGCACTGGCTCTAAGGCAAGGCTTTCTTTCTCTTTTGGCTCTGGTGGAAGGTCCTTGTCTCCTTTCAGCTTCCATTCCTCTACTAAGGAGACCTGCTGGTGTAGTGGTTAAGTGCTTGGCTGCTAACTGAAAGGCTGGTGGTACAAACTCACCCAGCAGCAATGCAGGAGAAAGACCTGCTGATCTGCTTCTGTAAAGATTACAGCCAAGAAAACCCTATGGGGCAGTTCTACTCTGTCACACGGGGTCGTGACTTGAGGGCACCCAGCAACAACAATATTCCTGGGTGCCTTGGCTATCTTCATGTGGCTGGCATCTATCTTCCCTCATCTATGCTTGCTTGCTTTTGTGCCTAATCTGCTCCTTTTATACCTCAAAAGTGATTGGTTTAAGACACACCCTAAACTAATATGGTCTCATTAACATAACAAAGAAAATCCTATTCCCAAAGGGGATTATATCCACATGTATAAACCAAACCTCTTGCCGTGGAGTTGATTCCCACTCATAGCAGTCCCCATAGGACAGGGTAGAACTGCCACATAGGGTTTCCAAGGCTGTAGTCTTTACGGAAGCGGACTGCCACATCTTTCTCCCGTGGAGCAACTGGTGGCTTTGAACCACCAACCTTTTGGTATGTAGCTGAGTGCTTAACCATTGCACCACCAGGGCTCCATCCACATGTATAGGGGTTAGGATTCTAACACATATTTTGGGGGTACACAATTAAATCGTTAACAGTGTGTGCTGGGGAAACCTTTCAAGGGCTTCTTTCTTATGTGTATGCATGGAAGCAGCCAGCACCGCTCTCAAGATACGGAGAAACAGGAATCTCCATTTCTTGAAATTGTAGATAAGGACTTTCCCTCAATGGAATTTGTGTAAAGTGGTCGTTTGCTCATCTATTCTTTCATGCATGCATTCTACAAAACATTTACTAGGTAAGACAATGAGGATTGAAAGAAGAGTAAGGTGCAGCCCTTGCCTTCAAGGAGTTAATAGTCTGGTGCAGGAGGGAGATATGTGTGGAAAGGCTATATGGTTGTTAGCAGACTCGTGGCTACCCCATGCACAAGGGAATAAAATGCTGCCTGGTCCTGCGCCATCCCTGTGACTGGTTGTAGATCGGACCATTGTGACCCATAGGGTTTTCATTGGCTGCTTTTCAGAAGTAGAGTACCAGGCCTTTCTTCATAGTCAGTCTCAGTTTGGAAGCTCTGCTGAAATCTATTCAGCATTTTAGCAACATGCAAGTTTCCACTGACCGATGGGAGGTGGCTGTGCATAAGATGCATTGGCTGGGAATTGAACCCAGGTCTCCTGCATGGAAGGCAAGAATTCTACCACTGAACCACCACTGCCCCCCACATAGAAAGGCTATGTTGTTGTATGCTGTTGAGTCGATACTGACTCATGTGACCCTATAGGACAGAGTAGAACTGCCCCACAGGGTTTCCTAGTCAGAAGTCTTTACAAGAGCAGATCACCAGGTCTTTTCTCCTAAAGAGCCACGGGTAGATTCACAATACCAACCTTTCGGTTGGTAGCCAAGCAGCTCACCACTGTGCCACCAGGGCTCTTCAAAAGGCTGTGTTGTTGTTAGGTATTGTGAGTCGGTTCCGACTCATAGCAACGCTATGTACAACAGAACGAAACACTGCCCGGTCCTGAGCCATCCTCACAATCATTGTTATGCTTGAGCCCACTGTTGCAGACACTGTGTCAATCTGTCTCGTTGAGGGTCTTCTTCTTTTTCACTGACCCTCTACTTTACCAAGCATGATGTCCTTCTCCAGGGACTGGTCCCTCCTGATAACATGTCCAAAGTATGTGAGACGATGTCTTGCCATCCTTGCTTCTAAGAAGCATTCTGGCTGTACTTCTTCCAAGGCTATAGTAGTATATAAAATGCTACAATGTCACTTATTTACATTTGTGAATTTTCTAAAAGGTGGAACATGAGGGAAATGTGTGTATATGCACACATGTATTTGTATGAACACATAAGGTCCCTATAGTTGTTCAGACTCAACTGGACACTCCAGGGCATGAAAAGCATTAGAAATAAGAAGGAGAAACTGACCAGGCCAGTGTCACTGTCCTGAGGCAAGCTGTGGTTATATAGGAAAGTCAACATTGATGACTAATCACTGAATGGAATAGTCATTGGAAAGATAAGTAGTTTGATGGTTCATTGTGTTAATAAGAAAGGTGGGTGAGACTTTTAGCAAGGCCTAGTTCTTGTCACTAGCTGAATTTCTCTCTTTCTATAAGGCTACCCACTCAGTCATACATCAGAGTCAAAGAATCTTTGAATGTGAGGGCTGGAGGAGAGGCTGGCACGAAAGGACAGTTGCGAGTGAATGTACTATTGACCTAGAATATGTCTGCAACCAAGCAAAAGCCTAGACTCAAAGGCTGAACGCTATTCACTGCACTCTTCTGGGCCACGTGGTCTGTGTGGTTGGATACGTTTCCTCTAAGCTTTCAGCCTCAACCCCCAGTTCCCCTCAAGCTTTTCAGTGCATAGAGTTCTTAGGAGTCTAATAGATTCAGCACACTTCTTTGCCTCTGGGGTCATTTGTTGCCACTTTTTAAAGCTTTATGACAACAGAGCTTTTAACATGTAGTCTCTGGCAGGAGGACCAAGATGGGCCAGGACAAGAAGATGGCCACGCCCTTGGACTAATCATGTGCAAACAGAGGGGCCACTCCGATTCCCTGGGAACCGGCCACACCAGTAGAGCCCGGCTCACCTCTGAAATATTGATGCGGCCCTCCTGGAAGGAACAGGTGGTGGGGTCATGAGTGCAGAGGTTGCGGTATTTGCACCAATGGCAGCGGAAGGCGCTGTTCACACAAGACAGGCACCTGCAAGGAGAGCACAGTAAGAGGTGACAAGAAGGGGGCAGAGAGGGGAGGTGAAGGCAGGCCACCACCTAGGTGCCACGACGGAGACCGTTATCTTGAGTTGAAATCCTAGCCTCACCCTCAGGAGGGCAGAGAACTGTGGATTCTTCATCCAAGATGTTTATGGGACCAGAAAATGAGAAAGCAAATCAGATCAGAACGGGAATAAAGACACTTGTAAAGTAGTGGTGTGCTGGCGCTGGCCTGTTACTGGTTCCTAAGGGCTGATCACTATGTTTTCAGGAATTTTGCAAGCTGTTTGAGATCATGTTGGTAGCTTGAAATTGACCATGGTGGGAGTATTTACACCATAGAAATTGGCAAATCCTACAAACCATTTTTTCCCCTCAAAGCTGGTAGTTAAACATTTGTCACCACACCACTGCCTATAAAACAGAATGTCCAAAAAAAACACAAGGCTAGGAATGGGGCAGATCTGATTCCTATCTTGGCTCTGCCTCTGCCACGGCCACTGGGGTCACCCTGAGTAAGTCACTTCACCCTCTGAATTGGAGTTTCTCTGTCTGTTGAACAGGGTTACTAAAACATTCCTGTCTACTTCACAGGGCTGTGGAGTGTCAAACGAGATAATATACAGGAAATGGCTTTGAAAAATGCAATGCTAAATGTGAATATTATTTTTAAGCACATAAATTACCTGTTATTTCAAGCTCTTAAATAACATTTGAGTGTTAACGATTGGTTCATATCACCTGTTATTGGGCTCTGGGGGAGTTAGAGCATTACATGGGAACTGTTGTCCAACTCTCCAAGCAGCCCAGGCATGGTGCAATAGCATATGTGTGGCCGAGCTGTGCTTTCTTGCCAGGGTGTGCACCTCTCTCCCTCCGTTTTACCTGGAGACTGTCTGTATTATTTTACCTCTCTATGTGTGATCAGACCATCATAATGGAGATGGGTCTTGTCGATGGGGTTGGTCCTCCTTTTCCTTCACAGTTCTTCTAGTCTAGCCTTTCACAACTAGACTAATCTGGATGAAACCAGGGCCGGGTCTACAATCTGGCGCCACCTAGTGGGGTTCTGATTAAATTTGGGTGGTTGGGGTTGCGGTTCTTTGGCCTGCATCCAGGGGTCACTGGCTAATATGCCATAGTGTATTAGGTACATCAGCCCACCTGCACTTCAATCTTCCCTGTGTTAACATTTTTATCCCCTTCTGGATGTGTCCAAATCTATTTAATGTCTGAGTATAGGCCAATGCTATTTCATGTACTCCCAGATCTGAATGGTTCTTGCTAATTATAATATGATCTAGCAAGTACATGGAGTCCCAGGGAGGTGCAAATGGTTAACACACTCAGCTGCTAACTGAAAGGCTGGAGGTCTGAGTCTACCCAGAGGCATCTCGGAAGAAAGGCCCGGTGATCTACTTCTGAACAACCAACCACTGAAAACCCTATGGTCACAGTTATAGTCTGACACACATGGGGTTGCCATGAGTTGGAACCGGCTCAACAGCAATTGGTTAGCCAGTAACTAGTGAAAATGGGCCAGGGACCAGGAGATTGGGGCTCTAGAACTTGCTCTTCCAGTGGCTAATTTTGTAACTTAGTTGTAGCACTTGTCTTCCGTGGGCCTCAGTTTCCCCTGTCAAAGGAAGAGATTGAACTCGATTCTCTGATTTTTAACTATGAATGCCAGTGGAGATGGGTAAAAAAGTGTTTGGCTATAAAATGGAATCTTTCTGTCAAGGAGACCTGCTTTATTTCTCCTAAAACTCGCTGCCTGTGACAGCATCTCCATTGCCATAGTGATACATCATTGAAAGTGGTGACATCACACTGAATTGCCATGGAAATAAAGATGCTCTCACAAACAATGGATTCCATCACCACTGTTTTGGGAGTCTGAGAGAGAGTGGGAGCTTCTCTCTCCAAGTTGCTTGCATTTCCCAAAATAGGGTAGACTGGCATTAGAATGCAGTGGTTAGTGGGCATTTCAGCTTCAACCACTTAAGACCCTGCCTCGGTTCCCGCCCAGCCATTTTACCATGTGTCGTTTTTCTCAGCACATCTATTCATTTGTGCCGTTGGGGACTGCTGTAGGGACCCTAGAACTACAGCAGATTACAGTAATCATAGAAATCAAGATCGCAGAAGGAAGACCAAAGACGAGTGGCTTATTTGTCTGTTTTTAAAGCTAAAGATTCATATAGGGCTTAGCTGCAAAGAGACTCCCTCACCTCCTTGACTGCTGAGACTATCATGCCCACAGTCTGGACCCTGCAGACTGATGCTCTGGGGTTTTCCCTATTCCATCGACCTCAAGTGGTTCCTGTCCTGGGCAGTGGGAAGGAATGGAATGTTCCCAGTGACTGCTGCCTCTGGCATGGAGCTGCTGCTTGGCTCCTCCCCTGGCTAAATGTCCAGGGACACTGGTCCCATGACCTTTACGTGGCCCCACTATAGAGACCCATGTTTCCCTCTTTCTAAACCACAAGGTCCCAGCTTCTGTAGACAGACTCTCTGTTTCTCTTCCAGAAAGGATCAGCAGAAACTAAGCACTGGATCTCTCTCTCTCCTCCATTCCTGGCCCTGCTTCTTAAGAAAGGCCCTGTTGTAAGATGTGCACCGTTGTAAGATCCCACGGCTTGTGGGCACCATTGGTAAGCATTCAGCTGCTGAAGATGGCTGGTGGTCAGCTGGGCTGTGTCCAAGCCTCTCTGGATGGTTTGGTCTGGCTTCCCCTCCTCTTTAAAAAGTTGGGATGGGTTGGAAAAATACGATGGAGCTAAAGCCTCCTCTCCCCTCCCCGGCCCAGGCCTCTCCCCTCTCGGGCCCAGGCCCTTTTCTCATGCACTGGGAAAGGCTAGTTGCCCCATCCCTGCCCCTCTGTGTGTGCTTGTCCACACAGCTGACTCCCATGCCTCTGAGCCCCACTTCATTTGGACATGGGCAACATGTCCAGACTCCACTCACTGTCAGTCTCTACCCTCAAAGCCACCACCAACCAATTGGTCTAAAACAGAAAACTTTTCTTATGGTCCCTGGGCCGTGACCTTTGTTTTTACTTCAAATCCCCTTAGCTTGAAAGATAGGGAGAGGGTGTGCGTGTGAGCATCTGTGTGTGTGAGTGTGTGTGTATGTGTGCATGTGAGTGTGTGTGTGTGGGGGGGTCAAGGAAGCCTGGATGAGATCAGAGGCTGTGGAGAGTAAACACCGTCCAGTTTAATCTAATAACATTTAAGGAGTGCTTACTGTGTTCTGGAAAGTGTGCCAGGCCCTACAGAGAGACCATGCATGAATAAGACACGATGCCTGTCTGAAGGGCACATAGAGCCAAGGGAGAGAAGCCAGACCCACATCCAGACCCAGCGTGAGACTTTCTGATAAGTGCTTACAGTTGGTGGGCGCTGCAGTTGTAGAACTTGAACTCAGTGCTGACAAATATCTTCCCCGTCTCCTTGGACCTCAGCTGCAGTTCGAGCCCAAACCAGTCTGGAAAATAAAGGAGGAGGTGACAAGCTGGGGGCCCAGTGGGCTGCCTGAGGGCTATCCAGTAAGCCGCTCCAGGCTCTTCTGGGGCCCAGTGTTAGATGGACTGTACGGAACCTCTCTCCTCCTCCCGGAAGAATCCCTTCGGCTCTGCTGTTACCTGTCCATCTGCAGACCCTTGCCTCCCACCCCTCCACCTCCAGGGAGAAGTAACAGATCAGACCCCACAGAACCACTTGCCTCGGTCAGGTGCTCTCAGTTACTGAAAGACTTCCAGAAACATCAGGCCAGAACCCCGCAAGTCCCCAGTCCCATGGTGAGAACCCACCAAAAACTGAAGCCATTCCCATTTCCAGAAGGGAAAGGAGGTCTGGCAAGACTCCACGGCCTTAACCCAAATGGGGGCAAGGGTTTTCCCACTTCCTGAATTTTGTGGTGGGAAACAACAGTTTGCTTTCAACCCTTAACAAATTCTATAAGCCCTTCCTAGAGTCTGACATAAGAAAGCTCAGCTGGGCAGCTTCTGGGCCCACTACCTGTGACCCTCGGCCCTGTATTCTCTATCTTGGCCATCATGGGAAGCAGCAACTGACTCACATGGCAGGCACTTCTCACCTTGATCCAGAGGGATGACAGGGACATCCTTGGGCCCAGGGGACATGCAGATGACCTGGCTCCCGGACACTTGCCCCTCCACCTCTGTCAGGTTCCCAAAGGCACAGGCAACTCCCGCAGACAGGTCGGGAGCATCACTCACGACAAGGCTGAGCTGTAAAGGAGGAAAAAGGCTCGGGAGCAAAGGGATGAGGCAACAGAGAGAACCCCAGGGGCTCAGGAGACCTGGTTCTAGTCCTGGTCCTGCCATTACCTGCTTACTCACTAATCTCCCCAACCTCGTCTGTAAAAGGTGTCACGCCAGTTCAGGTAATCTCCTGCCTTTGACACCACAGTCATGGTGGTGGAGGTGTATGCACCACCATCATCACCAGTTGCCATCAAGTTGACTCTGACTCATGGTGACCCCATGAGTGTCAGAGGAGAACTGTGCTCCACAGGGTTTTCAATGGCTGATTTTTCAGAAGTAGATCACCAGGCATTTCTTCCAAGGTGCATCTGGGTGGACTTGAACCTCCAAACTTTTGGTTAGCAGCTGAGCGCATTAACCATTTGCACCACCCAGGGACTCCTGGCGTATGCAAGGCGGATGCTATTTGTTTGTTTATTTTTCAGCCTCTGGTAGAGAGGGGCACTAGAGGGAAAGGTACCAAACTTCATCTCAGACCCTGCTCATTGTGACATGACACATAGGAAAGTTAATTGCCAGGCACCACACAAATATGAGAGCCACCCATGAGCTGAGCCCTTTGCACACAAGGCCTTAGACTTGGCTCACGGAGGAGTGAGTGTCACTAGCCTAGAGGTTTTCCAGGGGCTCGCCAGGTTGGCGGGAGACGGCCAGCTCCTCACCCCACCTAGCAAGCAGAGGCTGCCCATCACTGGTGGGTTTCTTAGGGCTTCTGCTTTTCTGTCCCTTTGGGGCTCTCTGCTCATGAGCCGCTCCCCCTGGAGTGGGGCAGCAGGTTCTCGAGAGGGACGGGGGGTGAGAGAAAGGCTGGGAAGTGGGCGCCAAGGGCTCAGGTGATGTCTGCAGTTACCTATGGGTTCCAGAGACCTAGGCTGGTGGTGTCCAGCCTTTTCAGTTTGAAGATCCTCCTTTTAATGTTAAAAATATCACAGACTCACAAAAGACTGTTGATTGAGAAAACATCCAATGGCAAAATGCTGCTCCGAATTCAGGGCACTTATAAATGAATTTGTACACAGTTACCACAACATAGACCTAAGTGGTATTTAAAGGAAGCCCAGATGGTGCAGTGGTTAAGTGCTTGGCTGCTAAACAAAAAGTCGGCGGTTAGAAGCCAGTAGCCGCTCCGTGGGAGAAAGATGTGGCAGTCTGCTTCCGTAAAGATGACAGACTCGGAAACCCTGTGAGGCAGTTCCACGCTGTCCTGTAGGGTTGCTATGAGTTGGAATCGACTGGATGGCAGTGGGGTTGGGGGTATTTAAAACAGTAGGTGAGAAATGTAACTGATTCCATCAGGCAGTGGGGAAAGCCTGTGGAGGTTCACGGGGAGAACTAGACTGTGGCCTCCAGGTTGGGACTCACCTATGCAGGTCTCCTCTGTCTTCCACCAACACTTGGCAGCACTGATGGGCAGTGGGCTTCCCAGTCCTGGGGGTATTGCATAGTCTTCCCATATATCTGTTTGCCACCGAATCCCTGTCCCCATTTGCTTTCCATGGGTCCAAGAGACATAGGCACAAAGGCCCGTTTGTTCCCTCAGCCCCACTGGAGCTGAAATGTCTTGGTGGGGATGAATGAACCAAATGGTAGAAGGTTCACTAATTAACACTTGTGAATGCTCATGAAGCCTTCAGAATGAAATAGTGCAGGGACATGAAATATTTGTGGTTATATCTTGACAGGTGGTTAAGGAATATTTTATTCTCCTTAAGTCTCCCTCTCTCTCTCACACACACTGACCAGACACAGAAGCAGCTCCCACCTACCAAGGAATGTGTTATTTGGTATTGGATTGGATTACATCAGAGATGTTTGTGACTAAATGCAAAATCTAAATTTACAACACGGATCAATGAGTGATGAAGTTGCAGGGAGTATGGAAAATGACTGTGCCCTTTTACAACAGGAGTTACTGTAGGTTTTCTAGAAAGATAAAGTGTCGGTGGAACGTTGAAAGTCCGATCAATTTGCAGACACTGTGCACATGTTAAAGGAACACACCCACATGTGTGTGCTCTGTGCTCACCGCTCCGCGCTGAGTTACTTACCAAGCGGCTGTGTTCAGACACCGAGATGCTGCTGGGATGCACCTCGAGGCTCATGCACTCGCTGATGCTGGCAGCAAATCGATTAGGTTCCCAGGCCCGCTGGCACTTGTCCCTGCGGGAGCACCTGCCACAAACACAGATTCACGAGAGGTCAGGCCTCTGAGACCCATCTGCTTGGCTCTATTTTCCATTGGGGGTAAGTAAGAGGGCTTTGCTCTCCTGAGGCCCATTACGACGTTCACTGTGTCCCCGTGGGGACTGGTGACTCCCAGATGATCTCTACCACAGCTAAAGACAGACTATGAGCAAATGGGCTTTATCCCTTTAAGTTTATACATGAAGAATGTTGATGTTGTGGTTAGGTGTTGTGGAGTTGAATCAGACTCACAGTCACACCACGTGACAGAATAGAACCGCCCCAAAGGATTTTCTAGGCGTAGTCTTTATGGGAGTAGATTGCCAGGTCTTTCTCCCTGGAAGCCCCTAGGTGGGTTCAAACTGTCAAACTTCAGGTTAGTAGCTGAGCACTTAACTGTTTGTGCCACCAGGGTTCCTTAATACATAAAGAATAGCCCTTGACAAAGCAGGGGGTGGGTGCTTAGGTAAGTAAGTGAGGGAAGTCTAGGCACCTGGGGAGGTAGCCTAGCAAGAGACTAGGAATACGAACTTTGGAACCTGGTGGCCTGGTTCTAACCCAGCTGTATTACTTACTAGCTGTGTTTCCTTGGGCAAGTTACTTAATCTCTCTGTGCCTCACCTATCTCAGCTGTAAAATGGGGATGATGATGATGGTGATACCCTGCCTCATAGGGTTGGTGTAAGGATCAAATGAGTTAGTGCTTAGACAATGGCGGGCACACAGTAGGTGCTGTACTGGTGTCAGCCCTTACACCACTACTACTGGTCAATATTATTATCCCTCTCCTCCAGAGGAACTTCAAAGAACAGGAGAGGGTCTTGCCTGCGTGGACAGTGTGCATATGGTTTTGTGGCTGGATTAATGGCTCTTTGAAGGCAGGAGCCATGTTTTATTCATTGGGCTAGTCTACCTGTCACGTGCTATATCCTAAATGTTTGTGGTGTGAAATAATGCCTGGAGACAGACAGACAAGGAGTCGCAGCCAGGGCTGCCTCTGTCAGAAAGCTGTGTGGCCGCTTCTCCGACATCTTCATCCTGGCCCTGGGCTCCGCCGCCCACCCAGGCTGGCGGGCATGGTGTCACCTGCTGCCTGCCATGTCACCGGGACCAGGCTCCAGGGCTGGTTGTTCTCCAAAGCAAACAGCCACCAGGGCATTGAGGGATTCCACAGTCGGGCAGTGATCTGCCCCCAAGCTCCCCCAAGCCCCTCCCCCTCTTCCTTCGCAGGCACATAATGGATCTAAATATGAATGCTGTCAGAGAAAAGAATTATTGAGGTTTAAGTGAATCCTTAAGATAGCTCTAAAGTGAGCTCTTGACTGGAGCCTTTATCTCATTGACTCACTGAAATGGCTCTTTTTTATCATACTATTTATGGCAACAGCCCTAACAGAGATAAATAGCCTCGGAGACAGTAACACACTTGCAAGAGCAAGGCATACAGAAGAGACAGGAAGGTTTCAAATCCCCCCTGGACCCAGAGGCTCTTCAGCAATCTCCCTCAGCCTTGGCCTCCACTAGTGTGGGCCTGGGGGCTGGGCTTGGGCCCACCTCCTCATCCTGCTCTTCCCTATGCAGACTGCAGGTGGTCGGTGGGAGGGCTTGGGGAAGAGGAGAAGGTCCAGAAGGAGAAACCTCTGGGTAAAAACAGGAAGAATCCTGCTCCCCATATGCCCTTGGGGGGCAGAGCAGCTAGAAGAGGGGTGAGCCCTGGCAGGCAGGATTCTCTGACACTGGGTAGGGAGTTCAGGGGACAGGGCATCTGGGACCATTCTGATGCAGCTCAGTCATTCCAGCAGCCGTGGCTGACCTACACTAGGTGATGGCACTGGTGGCCTGGTGTGGCTGGGAGACCGGGGGATTGCTGATAGATTTATAGGCGTTAGTACAGGTTGAGGAAAGCAGATGTTCTTGATATTGAATAAATGATAATTTTACACTGTTCTACATTCCAGAAGTTCCTTCAGCACTGAAGCTGGGAGGGTAGGGTGAGGAGTCAGGAGTGGGTGCGCAGCTGGACATGACCTCTGCAGAATGAGCGTGCAGGTAGCTCAGGACACCTTTCCCTGAGGTGATGGGCTGTGAGGTTCTTTGGAGGAGGCAATTCCCTGGAGGAGAGAGCTGGCTGGCCGGTTTGCTGAAGGGAACCCTGTGTCCCCACTGTTACCACTTCTGGGTTGCAATGTGGGTGGCAAGAGCATCTTCACCACTTACCTGGCCTAAATGGAAACTCACTGTTCTGGGTTTAGGAAGAGCATTTCTGCAAAACTTTTTGAGAAGTCTCTTACCTCCGAACCCGAGTGGGAAACCCACTACTCATGGGCTCAAATCCAGTCCGGGTTTTGCATCTGTGAGGCGCCTGCTTCCCTCCCTCCCTCCCAAGCCCTCCCAACACCTGCTGCAGGGGCTGGAAGCCAAGAGCTATTGTGAGGGACCCTGAACTCTGGCCCTCCGCCTCCACCCCAAACCCGGCACATTTCATGGAGATGCTTTGCCGGCTGGCATGTAGCCATGGGGTTTCCAACTCTGTTGGGCAACAGAATTCCTAGCCAGTTCCCGCCTTTGGGGTTTTCACCCTTTTTTGTCCCTCTGGGGCTTGAATTAGGAAGTTGAAGTGTGACTTTGCATTTCTATCGAGCTGGTATTCAATGACAGGCCATGTATCTGAGTAAGGATGGGAGGCCAGTTGGAGTGAGATGTGGACTTCTTGGAATTATGAACTGATGAGGCCAGCAGGGTCCTCCCAAGGGTACAGAGCCCTTAATCATTATTTTGATTTGTGTCGCCTTTTCTGGGCTTCCTTATTTCCAAAGCATTAATTATTTCATTTAATCCTCAGTTCACCTGCAAGGAAGGCATTATCCCTTTTAGCGATGGGGAAACGGAGGCCCAGAGTTGTCAGTAGATTCCTCCAGGGTCTAACAGTAGCTACCCGGAGTCCCAACCTCCCAACTCTAGGGCCTGACTGTCTGCATGCCTTGGCAGGTGGCGCTTACTTCAGGCTAGACTGAGAACGTTCTTTGGAAATCTACAGATCCCCTAGCTTCCCTTGTGGGTTCTTCCAACACTGCTATCCTTCCCTGTACTGACAAAGAGCAGGCAGGTGACTTCAGAACAGCTGGGAGGGCAGACTTTCCAAGTGAAAAGCCAGAGAGGCCAAGGCTGGGCTCTTTGAAAGAAGTCCTGCCCATGCCCTCTGGGCATCTCCTGCCTTCAGCTCTTGGACCACCATTAGAATTTGCTTTGCCTGGGAGAGGGAAACTCCTCTCTCCCTGCAAAGCCCTGTCACATCCCACATCAGCACTCCCAGAAAGCACCTGGCCTCCCGCATTCCAGGTCCTTTTGCGGGACTTCCCAAACTTACATGTTGTGCAGGGTGCACCAGCCACAGTGCGGGTCCCCCGAGCTCAGGCACTCCCCACAAGTCGTGTACTGTTCACACGATTCCACAGGGACCCTGGTGACCTGGCAGAGAGGGAGAAGACAGCGTGGTGAGGTCAGGCCGTGGAGCTCACAGGTGTGTGTTCAGGCTCCCCCACACTCCCCCTAAGGAGGTGACATGGGGAGGGAAATCAGTGGCTTCAATGTCCTCATCTGTTTGCCCAGCACAAGGCAAGAGAGCTCAGCAGAAAGTGCAGCTGAGGAGGCAGGCTGAAGGCTTCTTGCCTTTGCCAGGAAAAATCAAAACCATGTGCCGTTGAGTTGAATCTAATTCATGGCGACCCCATATGTGTCAGAGTAAAACGGTGCTCCATAGGGTTTTCAATGCCTGGTTGAAAAGATTGCCAGGCTTTTCTTCTGCGGCACTCCTGGGTAAACTTGAACCTCCAACCTCTTGGCGGGCAGTAGAGCACGTTAACCATTTTTACCACCAAGCGACTCAAAAAACCAGTTGCTATCAAGTTGATTTTGATCATGATTCATGTGTCAGAGTAAAATGATGCTCTATAGGGTTTTTAATTATTGATTTTTTGGAAGTCGATTGCCAGGCCTTTCTTCTGAGGCACCTCTGTGTGGACTCAAACCTCCAACCTTTCGGTTACCGTTCGAGCGTGTTACCATTTGCACCACCCAGGGACTCCACTTTAGTTAGTCAGAGGTAGAAGCAAATCCTGTGATCATTCCTGCCTGTCACTAAAGTCCTCCCAACAGCTGGGCACACCAGTGGCAAGTGCTGAAAATGGTTAACTCTGTTGAAAGGCTATTGAGTGGCACCAACTCATCTCTGAAGAGCTTTCAGCTGGGCTTGGGCTGAGCTACAGAAAACATTTAAAGGGGGAGAGGGGCAGAAACTTTTCCCATCACATAATATTCATAGTGTGGCACAGTCTCTTTACAGCCAAGCAAATACAACACCTGGATCCAATTATCTCATTCTCTGATGCCTGCATTCAGTTTCTCTAGTAAATCTCCTATCCTCTGAAAAGTCTGGCTAAATGGGAACATCCACGGAGGCAAGCTGCCTGTATCATTCCGTCTTGCTGGGAAAGTGGGAATTTGCAGATGAAGACCCTGCCTCCCAGAGCACACAGCGCCTGTAAACTCCTCCTGGCTTCCTGGTGGGGCCCTGCAGGGTCTCGAGCTGGTCTGTCTGCGCATGGCTCACTCCCACCTGCCCAGTGTGTGCAACAGTAAAGGCCAGGCAGGACTGAAGTCTTCCATTTGATATGTCCTAGGAATGTGTCCTGGTGGCACAGTGGTTAAGAGCTTAGCTGCTAACCAAAAGGTCAGCAGCTTGAATCTACCAGCCGCTCCTTGGAAATCCTATGGGGCAGTTCTACTCTATCCTATAGGGTCGCCGTGAGCTGTAATCAACTTGACGGCAATAAGTTTTATTTTTGGTTTTAGGTACGTGTGGGAGCCCTGGTGGCACAGTGGCTAAGTGCTTGGCTGCTAACCAAAAGGTTGGCAGTTTGAACCCACCAGCCACTCCTTGGAAACACTATGTGGCTGTTCTACTCTGTCCTATAGGGTTGCTATGAGTCAGAATCAACTTGACAGCAAAAGGTTTGGTTTGGTTTTTGGGTTAGGAATGTGCCACTGGCTGGGCTGCAAAAACATTTGCGAGGCTGGCCGTGGTCTCTCATTTGTTGGGGCACAGAGGTCCCCCACCTACTGGATGTGTGAGCTCCAGTGAAAACCTGTGCTCCAACAGCTCAGAGTTCTGCCTCACGCGCTGGGGCGAAGGATATGATGGAGAGACACCCTTCACAGCATTCTCCTGAGAGCCTCAGGAGAAATCCTAACGCAGTTCATTCCACAGATGTTTACCAGATGTCAGGCAAATGGAGCACCAAAATACTGCTATGCTGTGGAGCAAAATAGCCAGCGGGACACAGATCCTGCCCTCGCCAGCCGACAGTCCACTGGGAGTTGATGATTACAAGCTGACAATTGTTCTAGTGTGCTGAGTGATCACTGCCTGGGACTGGTGTGAGCCCTGGAGGCCACAGGTGCTCAGAGGAGGGGTGTCCAGTACAACCTGCTGGAAGGAAGGAGACAGTGGAGCGAGGATAAGTTTTGAAGAGTAAGAGCGTGGCAGAGGTAGAAAGGGCGTTCCAAGCTGAGGGATTAGCACAAGCTAAGGTGAGCGTGGACAAAACCAAAAAGCTGTTGCTGTCCAGTCAATTCCGACTCTTAGCAACCCTACAGGAGAGGCTAGAACTTCCCCATAGGGTTTCCAAGGTTGTAGTCTTTACAGAAGCAGCCTCCTACAAAGGGAGGTTGCCGTCGAGTTGATTCCAACTCACAGTGACCCAATAGGACAGAACAGAACTCCCCCCATAGGATTTCCAAGGTTGTAATCTTTATGGAAGCAGACTGCCCCATCTTTCTCCTGCAGAGTGGCTGGTGGGTTCGAATTGTCAGCCTTTTGGTTAGCAGCCAAGTGCTTAACCACTGTGCCACTAGGGCTCCTCATGCATGGATAAGTTCAGAATAACTTGCGTGTCGGGTGTACAATGGCTGGGGGCAGGGCGAGAGATGTAAGCAGGGGCAAGACCACGAACGGTCTTACGTGTCAGCCCAAGGAGCTTGCCTTTTCTCTGTTGGGGGCCCCGTCTGATTCTCACTACATCATAACATTTTATCATTCCACGTTACAAGGACTTTCTGTAATTGAGTGACATGATCAACTTTAAATATCCTTAACCTCTCTTTGTAGAAAAAGCTGTGGTGGTACAGTGGCTAAGCACTTGGCTGCTAACCAGAAGGTCAAGGTTCGAACCCACCAGCCACTCCATGGGAGAAAGATGTGGCAGTCTGCTTCCATAAAGATTACAGCCTTGGAAATCCTATAGGGGAAATTCTTTTTTTTTTTTTTTAAATTGTACTTTAGATGAAGGTTTACAGAACAAATAGTTTCTCGTTAAACAGTACACATATTGTTTTATGACAATGGTTAACAACCCCACGACATGTCAACACTCTCTCTTCTCAACCTTGGGTTTCCTATTACCAGCTTTCCTGTCCCCTCCTGCCTTCTAGTCCTTGTCCCTGGACTCATTTTGTTGTGCCCCATTAGTCTCATTTTGTTTTATGGAGTTGTCTAATCTTTGGCTGTAGGGTGAACCTCGGGAGTGACTTCATTACTGAGCTAAAAGGGCGTCCAGGGGCCATACTCTCAGGGTTTCTCCAGGCTCTGTCAGGCCAGTAAGTCTGGTATTTTTTTGTGAGTATGCATTTTGTTCTACATTTTTCTCCAGCTCTGTCTGGGACCCTCTGTTGTGATCCCTGTTAGAGTAGTCAGTGGTGGTAGCCAGGCACCATGTAGTTGTACTGGACTCAGTCTAGTAGAAGCCGTGGTAGTCGTGGTCCATTAGTCCTTTGGACTAATCTTTCCCTTGTATCTTGCTTTCTTCATTCTCCCTTGCTCCTGAAGGGGTGAGACCAGTGGAGTATCTTAGATGGCTACTCACAGGCTTTTAAGACCTTGGACACTGCTCACCAAGATAGAATGTAGAACATTTTCTTTATAAACTGTGTTATGTCAATTGAGCTAGATGTTCCCTGAGACCATGGTCCCCACAGCCCTATAGGGGAAATTCTCTTCTGTCCTACTGGGTTGCTGTGAGTTGGAATCAACTCGATGCCAATGGGTTTTTTTTTTTTTAACCTCTCTTTAATAATAAAATATGAAATTTCAGGAAGGATAAGTACAAAATCTTGCAATTTGGTTTAAAAAATTGATACTCTAAGTGCAGGTTGGCAGACAGTTGGTTTGAAACAGCTCATGTGTAACAGACCTCTGAGGGTCTGAGCTGACTCTAAGTCCAATATGACCTGACAGGGTGATACAAAAGCTAGAGAGGACTAACGTGATCATGGCCTGCATAGATAGACAGACACATGGTGTCAGGATTGGGGGGCTGCCCCACACTTGGAGTTCCGAGTTCAGGTCTCTGCAACCTGCTCTAAGAGGGGTGTTGTTCAGCCAGAGAGCCTTTCCAGAAGGGTGACCAGAATGGGGAGGGACCCAGATGTCATGTCTGAGGTACAGCTGATGGACTTTGGAGGTTTAGTTAGAAGAGTCATCTCGGGGTAGCCATGAAGGCAGCTCCCCAATGTTTGAAGGGAGCAGTATGGCCCCAGTAAGACTCACAGATGGACAGTTACAGGAAAGCTCAATATAAGGAAGTCGGGGTTGTCCAATAATGCAACAGACCTCACTTCGCAAAGGAACTTCCATCACTGGGGACTTAAGTAGAGCCTAGGGGACTCTCTCAGGGCAGCTGGGATGGGATTTCCGCCCTCAGAGGAAGGCTGTTGTTGTTGTTAGTAGATGTTCAGTGGGCTCCAACTCATGGCGGCTCTACATTCGTTGTTGTTTGTCATTGAGTTAACTCTGGTTCATGGTGACCCCAGTAGAACGTACTCCATAGGATTTCAATGGCTGGTATTTTGCACGTAGATCACCAGGCCTTTCTTCTGAGGTACCTCTGGGTTGACTTGAACCTATAACCTTTCAGGTAAGCATAACAGAACAAAACGTTCCATGGTTCTGTGCCATCTTCATGATCATTGGTATGTTTGAGTCCAAGGCTGCATTGTTGTTGTTTCCATGTGCTATTGAGTCAAGTAGAAATTCCTCATAGGGTTTCCTAGGCTGTAATCTTTATGGGAACAGATTATCATGTCTTTTCTCCTGGGGAGGGGCTGGTGGGTTCAAACCACTGACCTTTCAGTTAGCAGCTGAGTGTTTAACCATTGCACCACCAGGGCTCCCTAAGGCTGCATTAAAAAAACCTGTTGCCAGAGTCGATTCTGACTCATACTGACCCCACAGGACAGAGTACAGCTGCCCCATAGGGTTTCCAAGGAGTAGCTGGTGGATTCGAACTGCTGACCTTTTGGATAGCAGCCGAGCTCTTACCCACTGCGCCACCAAGGCTGCGTTATTCCTTCCAATTCTAACATTCCAGGATTCTGTTCACCATACTTTATCTCACTCTTCCTTGATTCTGTTT